TCAGTTTGGTCACCTTTATTTGTACCTTTTCCAACTCTGCAATATTCTTATTGAGGAATGAGTATTCCAAGTGCAGTCTCACCATAGACTGGTATAAGAACTTTACTATATTGGTAATTTTACAATTCCTCTTACAAATAGTTAAGAAGAAACATATTTTCCCTATTCGTTGCTTTTGTCAGACTGAGTCCTTGCTTAAACTGAAGGTATTAAAATATTCTTGGTATGGCATATCTATACTTCTTGGATTATTTCCATCTCTATGGTTACAGGTAAATGCCTGAAAATGATAAATGGAATAAAATGATACATAAGAAAATTATTAAGTTTTAAAGTGAAATTATATTCAGCTGAAGGAACAATTATCTGGCTGTTTTCCTGTATGAGAGCTATATTGTATTATTTATGTATTTATGAAATTTGGGGGGCACCCAACTCCAACTTGATTCCTGAGTAGCTTACCTTAAAAATAAAAAGCAGTTAAAAAGAGCCAATGGAAAGAAAATCCCATGTGTCTGGACAAACACACTCCCTCAAACAAAACATAACCAACAAGGCTCCACAAACACCTTACCCCAAGGCTTGGATGAAGAGCCAAATTTTTAAAAACTTCCAGAACATCATCAGGGTGGGAGCTACATGGATCTCTAGGGAGATATCATTCCAGAGAGCAGAATGTAATATTGTTCCGCAAGAGAGAAGACATGCTTTCTGAGTCCCGATAGATAGCATTTTTGACTGAAGGAACCCAAAGCGTACCAGCCCTCCCAATCTTACTGAATGGGGAGAAACCATGGGATATAGGCTGCCCTTCAGTTAACCTGGCCCTGTGTCATGAAAGGCTTTATAGGTGATAACCAGAACCTTGAATTGCATCTGAAAGTAACTGGCAACCAGTGCAGCTTACGGAACAGTGGTGTCACATGGCATACCAAGGCGTGCCCAATACTGCCTGAACCACTGCATCTGGATCAGCTATAGTTTCTGGGTGGTCTTCAAGAGTAGCTGCTTGTAGAGTGCATTACAATAGTCAAATATAATACTTAGAATGTTTCAAATCAGTTAGTAATTGCCCAATATATTTTTTATTTGGAAATTCCAAGTATCACTTGGTCTTGTTAATTAAAATGGGTACAGCAAAGGGCTCAAATGCCAAAGGATGTTTTCCTGCAAAGCTCTAAGCAAAATAAATAGGAGTTATCTAGAAGCAACTTAACATCTGAACAAAATATTATATTGGTACCTCCCTTCCCACAAATTAATTCAGGGCATGAGTTTTGTTATACCAACCTTTTTGAAATGTACAGGAGCTGTGACAAAAGCTTAGTAGAGCCTGGCAAGGAATTTAGCTAGATCCATCTTCCTTAACAGATATCCTCCAGGTATGTTAGAATGCAATTTCCATTATGCCCAATAATGGGTAAAAGCTGAACTTCAGGTTCTGTGTGTCTCATTATAGCAGCCATAATCTTATTTCCTTAGTGAATACTGTTACCTTCTCTCATGGACAAGGCATCTCTGCATTTGTTTTTCATAATCAGTTTTCAAAGGATGATATTTGTCAACATTTTTCTTTTCTGTCTAAGGCTGAATTTGCCAAAAAAGAAAAAGAAAGTAGAAACGGAGGATGAAGACAAAGATAGTTCAATGAAAGGAAGTAACAGCTCTGAACAGCTGGATTTAGATGGAGATAGCTCCAGTGAGGTATCCAGCGAGATCAGCTTCAACTATGAATATGCCCAGATGGAGGTGACTATGAAAGCTCTTGGTGGAAATGGTAAGGAATGTGAATGCACTGTTTCCAATTTATGGTATGCCATTTAGCAAGTGGTTGCAATGCAATGTTTTGTGAGATGCATTACTGTATATCAGGGACAAAATTTAAACTACTATTTCTCAGTAGCTTACTGGGGAATGTTTTTCTACATTGATTTGTCTATAAGATATGCAATGAACTTCTGTGGTTGCATGTTATCAAGGAAGGTGAGTATCAGTGGCTAAAACACTCTGTAGACACCATATTGATGTCACGTGTTATGCATCATTGTGCATATATGCAAAAATTACACAATTTGTGTCATTTGCATGATGAAATCATACATGTTACATTCTTCCTCCCCCTGCCCCCCCAAAATAGCTATGAGTTGTTGGCAGTCATATGTGTAATCTTCCCTTCAAGAAATGTATGGTACAATTTCCAGGAATTGTATCATGGATGTATATAATAGATAGTGAGAGGCTAATTGTGAGTGTAGCTTTGGTTTGTTTTATAAGACTTGAAACCCTAAGAATGTTTAATGTAAAGCTTGGCTGTTGCATGTTATCAAGGAAGATTAGCATTATAAGACATTAATAACAGTTGAAGAAAAACCTAAAAACATAATCACAAAGATGACAGCCCACAATTAGTTACAGTTGAAATTATCCTAGCCATTCCCAAAAGATTGCCTAAAGAGAGAATGCTTTCTTTCACTTAGTAGCTTTTTTGTACCGATGCCCATTGAACCTCCTAGTACAGCAAATTCAATAGCACAGATGCTGCTACTCAGAAGACCCTGTACCAGATAGTCTGCATGTAGGCCTAGTATCCATGGGTCAAAATATCTTGCAAGATTTTGATGGAGATGGCCTGTTCATGCCAAAGAAGAGGTACTGCAAACATGTACTCTTGAGCCCAAGCTATTTAAGGTATTTTAGGCAAGAATCAAATACTGAACTGAGTTTAAAAGCTGTGTCACCCAAGACAGGAATATACAGTATGAAATGGCATATAATGTTTTGTACCTGTTTCTATACTGGCTACTATTGTCCCCATTTCTAATGAGCTAAGCTGCATGTAACTGCTACTAAATTGGTACAGGGCAAGTATAGTGTTAAACAAAGATGTGCCTTTTTAATAATTTGGCCTATCATCCTATATTTTTTGTAGTTTAATAAATCCATATTTAGGTACCGATTCACTGAGCCCACCTGAACATCTTTCTCCATTTGACCAGGAAATTAAAAGTGATACATGGGTAATGTTCATGTTGTTTCCTTGGAAACAAGACAGAAATGGCTTGCTGTGGCCTCCTTTCAAGCTTTTGTTGACTTCCCAATTCTTCTACAGCCCTGGAATTTTTCAATGGTTTCCCATCCAAGAACTAATCATATTCAAACCTGCTTAGTCAAGTTCAGTTATGTGATCTGTCCACTGAAACAAAGTCCATTTTAACATATGTAAATGGCAGCCAAAATAATAATAATAATTGCAAAAAGCAGCTTTACTTGGAACAGCTTATATCCTACGATACCTTTAATACCATCAAACAACAACATCTGCCTATCCCAGGTCCTTGGGAAAGATTCAATAGGTAGATAAAGATGCCAAATCCAGTCTAAACAGATGGCTGACTGTGTGCCCAACCATCATCATCATCATCATCATCCCAAAAGGTTATTTGAAAAAAAAAGTATTGACTATCTTTCTAAACCAAAAGAATGGAGACTAATCCTGAGACTACATATTCCATTCCATACTGTAAACAAGCTGACCTCTGAAATTGGGACTATATTTTAAAAGTCCTCTCCTACTAATATTTCTCCCAGAAAAGATTAATACTGAAAAAGGAGCTCCTTTGAGTAAAGTAAACTGTTTAGAGCTTTAAAGATTAAAAGCAACAATTTAAATCATGCCCAGAAGACAGCTTGAAATGAAAAAAGAGGGTAAATCAGAATCAGTAGAGGCAGAGGCCAACCGTGAGAGTAAACCAACCCATCTGAGGCCCTAACAGGCATTATGAGAGAGATGCTGAGGCAACAAGAAGAGGAAAGAAAAATGATGGTTAAAAGAGATAGTAGATGAAGAGGAAAAACTACTTCTTTCCCATCCTGATTTAATAGGATGCCCTGGACATCCTCAGAAAGAAAAGAAACTGCGTAAGGCAGATATCCATAGAGGTCACCCAATAGAAAATTTATCTCTTCCTTGGAAAATAGGTATTAGCCCAATACAAAAAGAGGACCCTACATTGAAAGGCTGTTGGAAAAGAACTGGGGAGAAAAGAAAGGATGGGGAGAAACAATCCATATTCGAAGAAGGAAATGGAAGATTATATCGAGTTAGAGCATATCCCTTAACTAAAGAAAAACTTGAACAAATTCTTCAAGGTACAGAGAGCAGATTCTCCAATTAGCTCATGAGAACCCCTGGTCAGGACATTATAGACAGGAACAGGACCCTAGAGAGATTTGATTGGCCAGGCATAGCCAGAGATAAGAGTTATCACTGTCAATCATGCCCAGTACCAACTGGTCTAGCAAAAAGGGCCACAGGTTAAGGCAGCAGAGTGAGAGTCCCTGTAGTACCAATACCATTTACAAAAGTGGCAGTGGATTCTGTGGGGCCATTTCCCAATATCAATATATTCTTGTCCTGTGTGATTAGGCAACCTGATACTCTGAGGCTGTACCTCTTACGACAACCACCACTAGAAGGATTGCTGAAGATTTAGTTTAAAAAGTTTTTTTTTCAAATACATTTATTAAATTTTAAGATAAGAATAAAAACTAACAAAAATTAATATTAAAGATAAAGAATGAAAAAGGAAAGAAAAAATGAAAAAGAAGAGAAAGAACAAAGTCAAAAGTGGAAGGAAGGCAGGCAGGCAGGCAGAAAAGAATGACTTCCGACTTTCCTCACAACAGATATAAGTATCAATTTACACTAAACTCTTACTGTAAGTTTACTACATAACTTTCATTTTTTCTATTGTCCACTATTATTTCTAATCATCAAATCCATACATCATAACTTCATTTTTTTGTTGTTTCACGCAAAAAGTCCAAAAAAGTCTTTCAATTAGCATTAAAATTACTCAGTGTCTTTTATCTAATCAAGAGTTAGTTAAAAACTTTAGTAGGACAGGAATACCTCAAACTATTTTTAACAGATCAAGCCACAAATGTCCAATCATCACTTTTAAAACGTATTTATGAGAATCTGGGGGTAAAAGGAATACAGACTATCCCACATCATCATCCAACCTATGGATTAATGGAGAGAATGAATAAAACCCTTAAAACCATGTTAAGGCATTGGGTACATGGTTGCCCTATCTGATATTTGCATACAGGGAGGTACCTCAAGCATCAACAAGGTTTAACCCATTTCAGCTGGTATATGGTAGACAACTTCAAGAGACATTAGATATAATTAAAGGAAGGCTGGAGAAAAGAAGCAGAAGGCCCAAAGAACATAGTGGAATACATTCTGGAACAAAGGGAGGAATTGCAGGACCTAGGTCAGGACAAACTAACTTCAGCTCAGACAACCCAGAAAACCGGGTAGGGTACTATAAAAGAGCAAAGAGGAAAATGCTGAAGGAGGGAGACCAGGTTTTACTTCTGCCAAGCACAGAATGTAAACTGCAAGCAAAGTGGCAGGGACCCTCCAAAATAGTAAAAAGAACAGGACCTGTAGACTATCAACTGGATATAGGTGGGGATAGAAAAAATATATATCATAGAAACATCATACAAAAATGGTGTAATAGAATGTCCAACCTTACCTTGATGGTTTCAACAGAACCCAACCAAGAAAACCTAGACCATGAATACGAAAACAGGAAGACAAGAAAAAGGAGAAATGGATGTGAAGCCTGAGTTAACTCCACTCCAAAAAAAAATTAAAGGAGTTTCTAGAAATTTTTCAGGAAATATTTACTAACAGGCCTAGTACTACTGACCTGACTGAGCAGTGGATAGAGATGAGACTCTCACCCTATTAGGTAAAGACCCAATAGAGTGCCAGAACATTTGAGAGCCATCTTTAAGGGGGAGATAGGTAAAATGTTGGAAGTAGGAATCATAGAGCCATCATGCAGTGAGTGGTGTTCTCCTTAAAATTGGGTTAAAACAGCCCCACCCTCTCCTTAATTGGAGTTTGTCCCATGAAATGAAACAGAAAGCAAGCATGCCTGTGGATGTGGCAAGAAATGAATCAAGCCAGGAAGACAGCCGGGAAGTGGGAAAGAGAAACCTCCAACACAAAAGCAAAGCACCTTAGCAGCAGTTTTCAGACAGGGAAAGAAAACTGCAATTCTTGGAGCTGCGAGACTGGCTGAGGGGCCGAGCTGAGAGACGGGGAGGAAAAGAGCCCAACCAGAGTCTGCGAACCAAAGCAGGGCCATTGTGTGCAGAGGCCCAGGTGCAGAGCTCCAGAAAGAGAGGACTGTGAGTGCGGGGAGGGGGGGGCAGGAGAGAAAAGGCCATTTGCAAGTCTATAGAGGAGTGGAAAGGGTTTTCACGTCCAAATGGACTGAGACTGGCTACAGGAGCTGAAGACCTGGGGATGAAGAAAAGACTTGACGAGCTAAGAAATAGTTAATTTAGGAAAATATAGTGCTACAAACATAGAGATAGGAATGTAGACATAGAACATAGAGATAGGAATTTATAAATGAAATAATATAGAAATAGTTCTAAACTTAATAGTAATAGGAAGACTGTAAAATAAGCCAGGTAGGAAAATAGAAACAACCATAGAATTAGGATTAAGATTAGAAATAAGGAATAGGTGTTTAATTTTGTATAATAAAACAGTTTTGGGGGGGGGAAACAAATGCAGTCTTTGAGTTTGTGATCTGTACCAGATGAAGAAAACCCTCACACCAAGGAATGGGTATCTGTTGTGCCAGCTCTGGTGCAATGAAGCTGAACTAAACTGATTCAGGTAACTGTTGACCCCAGTAATCTCTCAAAAACTGGGGCAAAGACTCATTTGTACTCCTCTGAGTGTATGACTACCCCCGTTTAAAAACAAAACTGCCACCCTGTGTTTCTTACTGCTCAAACTGTTGCTTTACACTTAAATCTGTCGTAAAGGCATCCCTTCTAGGCTT